TTTGTGGGCGGTATAAGTCTTACAACACAGAGAAAAATGCTTCATTTCAAATGTGCTCTCTTTGTGATGTCACAGTGGGATTCTGGTAAAAAAAATTACCCTCCCCTCCCCTGGTATCGCCACCCATGGACTCCACCCCCAGCCTAGAGCAAAACTTTTGCGCAGGTCCGCCATTTTTATTCTCGCTACAGAGGAGTGATGTCTACGGGGGAAACTCAGGGGGGGCTCATTGCATTTAAAGAGACACACACACCAAAACAGAGCGTTCTGAGGGATCTGGTTTATACAGGGTCACAAACCTCCTCTGGTGATTCATATTATATTTTGACCAAAGCACAGCACAGATGTTTCATTTAAACCACAGGGGACTGTTTGAAAAGGTGGAAAAGGGGGAGAATATGTCCTCTTTAAAAGGAAGAAATAGACATTTTTAAAGCCTGGTTCAAGACACAAATTTGGTCTGAATAGTTCATGTCTTTGTCTGCACACCGTTCTGATTTCATGACAATAAGGGCCGTGACTGATGTGACCGCAAGCTACGCGGTTTGTTGGGAGGCTGAAGGCCCACCTCCATGTTTTATACAGTTTACTCACAGTCTTCAGTTGACGTCACTTTCTAGAACATTTCACGCAGAGTGTCCTTGAAATCTTCCTGAAGTGCTTGTTCCGCACGAGCATCTGCTGGAACATTTGATTGATTCTCGGCTAAGGTGTCAGACTTACTTCAATGTGGGATACGTCATTTAAATGACCTGACATGACAATGACATTCATTCCATGACGGAAAAAAAATTACCTCCTCAAGCACCCTTGCGGTGAACTTTCCTGAATATTTTCTGCTGCTTTCTCACCTCCCCTTCATGCAGAAAATGTAGTAGGAGGCTGGCAGGAGAAAATATGGGTCAAGTCAGATTGAAAAGTGTGGCTGTTTACATTCATGCATCTCACCCTGAAACTTACAGGAAGTTTTCAGGAGATTTCTGCATGTTTGAAAGCCCCATTTCATATAAAAAAAACCAACATATTTTTATGGTTTAATTCTCTTTCATTAAGAGGAAGTAACAGTGAGAATAACAGAAGTAACAGTGAGAATATCCAGAAAAAGTTCAGTCCAATAAGTATTTAGTTTTCATCAGATGACTTTCTACTTTGAGGTTTCTATTTCAATAGCTAAAATAATTCCCTGTTGTTAAACCGTGAATCTATGAAAAGGCGAGCGGGTTTGATTTGACATTTCTGCATGAAGGCAGAACAAGTTTCTGTTTGAATCAGAGCAGAAACAAACACACATATTCCAAAGGTTGGCAGGAAACCACAAGTTTCACTCATAGTTTCTTTACCTGGTTTCACCCGGGTCTAAAATAACTACACCCCCTCTCTCTCCTACCGCCTTGGTCTCGCCTGTACAGGTAGAAAGGAGAGCCAGATACCTGTGTTTCCTCATTCAGCCACTGTTGCATAACTCTGGTGTTTCCTTTTTCATTTGTACAAAATCATCACATTACACTCTCACAGTCGTGTTAGAGCAAGTGCAAACACACACCTTGGTGTAATCATTAATTCATGTCATAGAGTGTAAATGAAAAATGGGTGCGGCCACAGTGATGTCACTTATGGCTTTGTGGTCTATACTTTATTAGTTTATTAGAAATGAGTTATTATTCTCTGGAGCCTGGCATGACTACATGACTGAGTGAGGAGTTAGCGTCCACTAATTTGTGAGCAGGATGTTTGGATATTTATAGATTAAGTTTTGATGATGACATTGACCTGCTGACAACGGACTGAATGTGGTTATGTACAAAATGAACATCACATACTTCAAGTTTCATTGAAAGTGTGTTGACCTTTTGTCTGTACAATATTGGAACAAACTGGACAGTGTGCAGTATTTCTTACCTGACAGACGAGTACCCATTGAGCAAACAAGATTACAGCAGACCCTCTGTTCCACCGTGCATGTCTTCCGCAAACATCGAAATGTATGCATTAATGTTTGATAATAAGATTTTATTCAACAAAGTGAAAAGGTCCAACAGTGTTAAAGTCATGTTTATATGCAGTCACTCACCCGTCTCTCATCGGACTGTAGGATACACGCACCTACAGCTCCACCTGGTGGTGACTCAGGGTGCCTACAGATCAAACAGTTAAAGCTTCAAACATCACCTGCTGACTCTGAGGGAGCAGACAGACTCACCTGAATCTACTCTAATGTTTTAAGACCACATAGTCCGGAAATAATAACCTGCAACCTCTGAAGAGACACAGAGTGAACAACAGTTCAACAAAATCAGAAATACTTTATTAATCGCGGAGAAATGTGGTTGTTACAGTAGCCTAACTCACAAACACAATATAGAAGCAGGAAATATAGAATATGTCAGCAATAAGTACCAAAGCACAGAGAATCCAAAGAAATAATAAGCAATGTAAAAGGGAATTAACAGGCTATATGACGATATTTACAAATATCCAGTGTTGAACAGTGTAGATAATA